CTTTTTTTTTCAGCTTTCTTTCCATGACCATTTTAAAAAGTGTTTTCTAAACATCTGGGAAGGCCACTGCAGGACACTGCCCTACAAGTTCCAGTTTTACTAAAACTCAAAGCCTTCCAAGAAATATTAGACATGGCTGTATTACCCTTCAGAGGCTTTACCATTCAGGTCTTATTTTTTAAAAACTGAACTACCGTAAATTTATATTTTTGTTACTCTTGATGCCTCTTTTTTTGGTACTCATCTCCATTTGCTAGTAAGGGGCAAAATACTTTGTTCTTGTGAAACCTCATTATGACTCTTTTCCTTCATCTGCAAGTCTCAAATTGACTTGTCATAGATGTTTTACATATATTTTAGGCTAAATGTGAAGTATTCCCTTATGCCCAAGAGGCATTCACAAAGTTGGAAAGCTCTGTTTTCAAGGACACTCTAAATGAGGTTATTAAAATTCAAGACTTTGCATATTCTGATGGGGGAAAACACTTGTCCCTGACAACAAAGGACATAGGTCAGTTTAAGAAAGCTTCTCAGTCTCCTTATCCATGGTGACTGAATTTCTTGTGCCAGCATTTGTAAAACTAAAATTAGAAAATGTTACCAGGTAGGAGGAAAAGTGTAGGAAACCATGTCCTGTCCAAAAGTAAAAATCCATAGCCATCTGTTGTTTGTGTTACATGGATTTCACAACTGTCATCTCCACTATGCATGCCATTTCATCTTCACAGCAATATCACCAAAACACCCACTGAGATAAAATCACAAATATTTTGAACATACCATGTGACATGTTATTTTCCAAACAAATAGTTGACAAAGTCAAAATGAGGACTTGTCTGTAGGTTACGGTTGTGTTGTCATGTGAAAAATCTTTTGAGAGTTTGCTACTGTTTGGAAATACTTAACTTCAAACTTGAGTAACTTAAGCAATACAGAAGAAGAGAGAGGAAGATTTTTAAATGCTGTATTTTTTAATTCTAAGTGTGTTTTGAAAAATTGTAATGACCACTACTTATACTTACATAGCATCTTTCTTCAAAAGAGGTCTAAAGATGCTTTCTAAATTATTTACTTAGAAATAGCATCCAGAATTTAAGTGAACTGTTTTTGTTTTCTGAACTTCAGACCAGCAAGACTGTTCCACATTTCACAGCTGGGTATGGCTTGAAGGATTTATCAGGCTAATCTTCATAACTCAATGTCATACCAAAATGTTCTTTTGGGGAAATTAAAAAACAACATGAGAAACAAAAATCCCAAACTCAAATTGTCCTTGGAAAAATGACAGAAAAAGAGTTAAAGACCAGTGAGTAAACAAACTGCTTTTTCCTTGTGGAAATCTCAAACTCAAGGTCAGCTCTGTCTGAAATCGCGGGACCTGTCACATGGCTTTCATAGCAGCCACTATGGCTCCTATCAAACCCAACTGAAAGCAATGAAAACACTTTTAAGGAAAAGAGATCCAGCTCTGATAAGAAGCACTCTAATCACCTTTGGCTGTTAACACTGCATAAAGTGAGAGGTGAAGTTTTGAAAAAGGAAAGAATGAACTGAGAGAACTGGAGAGCAAATGTATTCGATCTTTTACTTTAATTCCTTAATGTTTGTGCATGTTAGAGCAGAAACACGATTCTATAAGCATATAGATACATATATTGTTTATGCTATAAGAATACATACATTGACACACATTTTAAACACATAGGTGTTTGTACACATACAGAAACGTGGACTGTCCTGTTAGCATATCTCAACTAGTTCCATTTTATCGCAGCTTCCGTCCTCCAGTAACAAAAGTCTGGTGGTCTCAATCTCAGTCCCTTAGGAGTAGGAATCTATCACAGAACCATCACCTTTAATTTAATGCAATTGACACTCCCTGCTCAAGAGAGGCAGAAGATGGAGTTGCCATGGAGACTGAACTACTGCTCTTCTCCAGATGATGCTTTTATCAAACACAGACTGAACTGTAGAGGCTATGCAATACTAGTAACCTTGATCACATCACTGCATCTTGTTTTTGGGATGGCTTTTTAGGAGTCTCTAACAAACATCCAGGACGAGTTGAGGGGATGGGGGAAGGAGGAAGATAGAGCTTAAGAAAACAAACAAACAACCCTCCCATCATAAAATCCCCCACCAAAAACCAACAAAAAAACCCAGCATGACAGTGCATATTGTGCCAGATTGAGAGAGAAAAGGAGTTTCATATCGATTTGATTTATCAGATTTGTCACCTCTGCCTAGTGCTTTCCTAACACGGTGAATGCTGTGCTTGACCTATTTACTGGAATTAACCAGGACTGCAGGAGACCATATGGATTGCCAGATGGTCTGCTATAATTTAATGTCATTTATTCTAAGTATGAATTAAGTGATAAACATAATTAACATTCTTTTAGCTGCTTACTGGATGCCTTTTATTAGTTTCTTTTTTTTTCTCAGGCACTGAAAGCTAAGTTAATACCTTGTTGCTGAAACACAGATGCCAGCTAATTACTGCAAGAGGCTGCAGCCTCCAAAGCAAGTGTCTGCATAGATGAACGTATTCACTGACCCCACTGTAATGATTAATAGGTTGAATGCTAAGCTCTAATGAGGATGACAGAACTTAGATGTTTTCAGGTTACCTTAATTAGTAGTATCATAAACAGCATTCAATGTAGATGTATGTATCATACTTCATAGTAAACAATACACCTTGTACTTATGGCTGAATATGTATTTCACATTACAGCACATCAAATGTGAAAGAAGAATCAAACCACCTTCAGACAGTAAAAACAATGAAGTGATTTCCTTCAGAAATGTTTTTCCTGGTTGCTATTTCATATTCTGCCAGTGATTGTCTAAATGGCCTATTTTTTAGGAAGTGGTTCTAGAGAAGCTGTGGCTTCAAAGAGTGTTTATATCATGCAGGATCGTCATTCTCAGCGTTTTAAAACCACCGGTCTGTAACAAGCTATCCAAACAACTTTGCCTACTGTTTCTGTACTGATAATCTTCATAGTGACTGGGGTAGGTGTTAGCAGAATGAATAGCAAACCACTTTGTAAGTTTTACTGTCAATGTACAGGTGATGTATGTAGGAAAGAAGTATTTTCCCTATTTTACATGAAAAGTAGCACACATGGAATCTTGCAGATAAAAATGACCACAGCTAATTGTCCTGTGATATGCATCTGTACTGTTAATGAAACTTGGGTAAACTTTGACGTGACAGAAACAGCATAAATCAAACATTATTCAACAGAATAGCACCTGTACTATAAAGCAAATCTGCTGTACATGGTAAAAAGAGCCCAGGTCAGCAAGTCACAGCATAGGGAAAGCAGAAAAAACTCCAGCTTTTTATCACCTGTGTTCTTCCCTTGTTCTAGATGGGTTCAGAGCTTGCTCAGGGGCCTCCATGGTTACACAGCTGCATTTTGCAGTGCAAGTGCTGATGCACCCTTAAGAAACAGCTACAGCAGAGGGGACCTGAATGTGATGGAACATACCTGCTCTTTTACTCCACCCCTGATTGCATCAAGTTACTCCTTCACCTGGTGAATTTTGGTGAATCACTTGACTATTGTTACTGATCCTATAAAATCCTGTATTTCTCTACTAGCATATGAATAATTTATGATTCTCTATTGGTATATGAATAAAAATAGGATAAAAATATCTGAACAGCAAGCTTTTGCTTATATTTATACCACTTGTCAAGATGTCTTTACAAGGTCTCTGACTGCCAACACTTGAAAAAAATATCCATTTTTCTATTCCATCAACTGAAAAATATTTACCTGAGGTAAATAAGCGCCTGAAATGCTCATGCTAATGCTATGCTGGCTCCAGTTTCATTACTATAATCTGAGGGGAAAAAGAAGTACTTAGAGCAACTCAGGTAGCTTGAATTCCTCTCTGTAGGCATGTTCCTCTCCTCCCTGACTGCTAAATGTGCTCGGGCCATTCAGGCATCAAACCTTAGGTAAGCTGAAATCAGAGATAAAAAATCACCATGCTAAAAACGAGACCTTCAACAGACCATTAGCTGGACCTGATCACTTTTGAAAAATACCAGAGCAATACTCTTGGTGATTAAAAAGTTTTAATCTCAATATGCCATTGGCACAATGTTTTTGGTTTCTATGTATATACATTTATACATTTGTATATGTACATAAAACACACGTTTATAAATGTATGCATTTAATTGCTCCATCAATGCAAATAGTTTGCATTGTTCCAGATGTTCTCATAACACCAAAAGAAATGGAAATGCTGGATCTGTTGCCTGAATTAAGCTCTTGCTCAGAGCTCTAGACCACCTGAATAAGTGTTTTGTCTAAGAAGCACCTAGCTCCCACCAACACTTAAAAAAAATAAATTCTGAAAGAATGAAGAAACCAAGCAGAATTTAACAGTCTTTGGGGTTGATAGACACAAAACCTGTCAAAACATGTTTGAAGATTAGCTCTTAAACATAGCTTTAGACTTCAAAATCCTTTTTCACCTGTCTTGTTCTTTACTGCTTGCTCACAAGAAAAAAATCTATCAGAGAATTTATGTTCACTGTTCAGTCCCAAGAATAAGATTGTCTGTATCTTAGCTGTCTTACAGATGGCATGTTTGAAACAATGCTCTTGGTCTAAATTCAAAGTAGAATTTTAGGACAAATAAGGGCAAGATATAAAACCCCTATCTACAGAGGAATACCTATGCCTGACTAATGAACCCTCATTGCCATAATAACTTTCTGTGATTAAGCTCTATCATCAGATATACTGAGCAATCTCACCAAGGCAGCAAAACCTGACCCAATATACCCACAGGCCCAGAAGTTACTTGGGTAATGATTTGTTGGAAAATTATACTCTCAGAAATTATGAATTTAGGGAAAATTGCAAAATAAAATTAGGTAGAGGAACAATGAAAATTCCCTAAGAGCAAAAATGTTTTAAGTCCATAGGACAAACACCCAATGTTATTTACAAATTCCACAAATGTCTTACCTCCTGCATACATGACAGCCAACATTATCGATGATATCCAAGCTATCTCACTGTACGATGTGTGGAAGATTTCTTGTATTTCTTTGAAGAATACTGTGATGGCTTTGGGGAATGCATAGGAAAATCCAATGGAGATAAAAGCCCCAAAGACTACAACCCATCCCCAGCCTCCATCAGGAGGTGGGTAATCCGGTGCTCCTGCTGCTGGTGGCATTTTTGTGTCTCTGTTTCCTTTTCAACTAGGCTGAAAAAGAAAAAAAGAAACGGTTTCAAACAGTTTTCCTTTTTGTTTTTCCATATCAAACTACAGTATTCAATCATCATCTGCAGGGATTATAAAGAATCCTCAGAACAAAGACCAATTTCCAGCTTTCATGGGACCACAGAAAGTGAGTACCTGTTTTTAGAAGCAAAAGTTGTTCTGCAAAAAAACTTGTGGCAAGAATATTTCCAATATCCTATTCAATATTTGACAACTGTTACAAATCACTGATCTCAGTCACTGAAGTTGCATTTGCAGTTAGACACTTACTGGAAAGTGAAAAATTTGTGTGGGTTAATTTAAATTGCTCTACCATCTACAGTGTGGATATAGCACGGAAATGAAATAGAAAAAAATCCCACTGGATTTATAGAAAACAGTGGCAAAAAGTTACACTAGGTTGTAACTAAATGCCATTGTGTTAGTGAGACTTAATGGTACCTAAGGAAAATCACTGATGACAACAGAAAGGAACAAATTGAGAATATCCAAAAAAAGCAGGTTCTAAGCGGAAATTTAAAATTCCCTGAGTATCCATAAAATAAATACAAAATATTAAAATTCCATATTGTACTCTTATTTTTAAGATGTTAATGTTCATATTAGTTGATGTTGATATTACTTGCAGGAACAAGGCAAACCTTGATAGTATTAACTTTGCTGCTCCCACATGTCACAAGACATCAGGAATCATTTCACTAATAACCTCACAAACTTTTCACAGCTATTCTCTAATTTAGAATTGACCATAAGAGATGCCAGCAGAGTGATATCTTACAGAGTTTCTGAGAGGCATAGCCAATGCACTCAGCTCAAGAAATCATAGGTAACCCACATAAAACTCCAAAGGCCTGAAATAAATTTCATCCTGTTATTGTCATCCTGATATCTAAACCCTTGAGTTTTCTACATTCTGTATAACCTTCTTAGAAAACATGTGGCAGTGAAAATCCATTTTTAATTCCGAGATTTTTCCACTATCAAATCCCTTTCTTATTAAATACTTAAATTATTAATAACTGGAGTCCACTGTGTTTTCTTCTGTGTAATCCAGCCTACACAGGCTGCACAAACTCCAAATTCCTCCTTCCTCCCTGTTTCTTTCTTGGGCATTTAGGCGACTTATTACTCTAGATTGGCCTCCTGCCATACCAGCATTGAAATCTATGGATGATAACAATGTGTAGGTTGCTGTTATGGTTACAATTACCAGGAAACCTCTATGTGATTTTTTTTCTGTGCCACTTATGGTGTATTCCAATTTTGCACAGCAAACTGCATCAGCAGTGGGAATGGTATGATTACCCTAATAAAAACTAAAAACCTAACTGTGTTACTGTATATTGACCTCTTGGGATGGTGCCTGGAGTATTTTCAGGGTAAATGCCATGCAGCACTGCATGCAATATATGCTACAAAACAAGCAAAGTGTTGCTTTTAAGGCTACCTATCACTAGGCTAGCCCTGTGATAGGAACCCAGTGTACTTCTGATTCCTCACTTTACTGAAGCTGAATGTAAACATCAGCTACAATCTGATGTAGCTGGCAAACCTCTGGGGAGAAGTCAAATCAATGAGTAAAACTCCTGGCTTTTATGGAAGATTTAAAAAGTCCAGTTTGTTTGGCTTCTGCACTATATAATTGAGATTTGCTGCTGGCAGTAACAGGTATCTACTGCTCTGTACACAGCGTATATAAATCTTTTTATAAGCATGTCCAGAAAGAACCTCTGGTATGTACTTTGTTTCTGCTAATCCTAGTCTCAGTTTAATATCAGATCAGTGACATACGTCAGAAAGGAAAACCTGGGCCTGCCACTAGAAGAAGTTGGACAAGTAGAAACAATTCTGGTTGCTGCGATTTTGGCAAAGCAGTTAAATACCAGTTTGTTTTTGTTAATCAGGAGCCATTAGAAGGAAGAGTATCTCAGAAAGCCCATTGTAAATTAGAGCATACATAACAATTTATTGCATTCAAAAGCACAAAACCTCAAACTGGCATAAAAAGCTGAACTCTATTTCTGTGAGTTAAGCGACAGTAAACAAGAGAGTTTTGCTATCTATCCCAGAAAGCTTTTGTTCTGCTCATCTGAGAAAACTTTAGGTCATTTCATAAAAAAATGTTAACTATTGTTTTCTTACACTTCAAAGGCTAGAGCATATTTGTTTTTATATTTAATATTGACATAACAACACTTCTATCGCTATTACAAATTTTTGTAATGGCACAAAACAACAATGCATTGCTCTTCATAAAAATGGAAAGGGTTTATCAATTTATTAAAGAAGCACTCCTTTTCCTAAAAATACGACACAACCACTTTGAAAAATCACAGCCAGCACATTAGTCAGAATAATGCTGAAGGTTCATGAATGCCACTAATGAATTGATGCTTTGGAAAGATCCCATTATATCCAGCCCTTTAGGGCAGCAGAATGAGCTCTGACTGTTCTGTGCTTTCCTCCCTTCAAAAGCTTCACAGTAAACTAAGGGGACATTAAGGAGATGAGCAAAGGGACATTGGAAGCTCCTGTGCCTCAGCCTACAGACAAACTGCTGCAAACCCCATGGTGTGGCCCTGTCTGCCAACCTCACACAGTCATGAGGAGCCTGGATCACTGTAGCTCACACCTCCCATTTATCCCCTAAAGTAGAGTTAATAATAGTTTCCCTGGTATTCCTTTATGATCATGATGGCCAATTTTAGCTCCAGTTAATAAAAGGTGAAGAGTGAAAAAATAAAAAATATATGTCTGTACCAAGAGGAAAAAAGAATTCACTTTGTTAGAAACATTAAATCCAACATCTAGAACGTTCCATACCTGCTTAGGAGCTAAAGAAATGTTCTCCTGTAAAATCTGCACTTAATATTCCTGAAAGTGAATCCCTTGTAAAGAAGTGTAACCATTAATATACTTAGCACTAACCTAACTAGTAAGGTTCGGATAGTGTAGGTATAGAAGGAAATGTAAAATCCGTTAGCAACCAAAACAAAAGAGGATTTTCCAGGAGTAGATATAAATGTTGACAAAGGGAGAGGCAGAAGATGGACAAATGAAGCAGGGACAAGCAAAATGCCTTTTCAGAACTCTTAGAGCTTATTATGGGCTGTGAAGCATAAAAAGAAATATTCTAGAAAGCATAAAAACAGGGATGTGTGATGATGTTCACATGAAGGACACAGTACAAGACCACGAGAAGAAAAAAAGCAGCATGTGAGTAAATAAAGGTCACCAGCAGTGTTTTTAGTCAGTCATATGAATTCCATCATGAGGTTAAAGCTAGCAATGAGCACTGCTCATACCTATGCTTTCATTGGCAAGCAGTGGGGGAGGAACACTGCCTGCCCTCTGCCCAGGGGGGTAGTGACTGAAGTGTGTCCTGAGTGAAGCCATCAATCTCCCTTCCCTCTGTCAGATACACACAGACTGCTCAGCCTTTACACACCCTCAGGCAGACTAAGCATCTTCTCTTAAGCTCCTTCTAGTTCCCCTGTATAAATTCCATTTCTGTTAGTGAACAAGAACATGGCTTAGTGTATTAAGAACTGCATGTGCCTACTAACAAATAATAGGAGAGAAAAAAGGCAAGAGGGCACTTAAAAATCCTCTGATATGCAGCATTTTTGTTGCAGCTTCCAGTGCATTTGAACTTAATTAGGCATAAAGGAAGGAAGGAAGGAAGGAAGGAAGGAAGGAAGGAAGGAAGGAAGGAAGGAAGGAAGGAAAATAAAGGGGAAAAGAAAAAAAGACAAAATGCAGCAAGCAAGCAACAAGGTCAAACTAAGAGCAAATGGTACAGACAAATAATGTATCTCGATATCATGCACTGTCCTCTTCAGTCAGTTACAATCAACCTGTTCAAACTGTTTTTGTACCAATGCTTCATTAATATTCTGCAGTTGCCAGCTGCTAGAATCAGCTATCAATACAACAGTTTGTCAAAGACCCTTCTGAGAAGGGGATGTGTCATTCTCTTGTTTACAGAGACTCTGATTTTATTGGGTGTTCAGGTTTTGTTTTTCTGCAACATTAGTGTAACTGTTTGCTTTCCTGCTTATATTTTGGCTGCCTTGTCCTCAATGTACCCCATCACCACTTGACTCAGCAGCCATTTGTCCCAGAGTAAAAGAGCTGGCATGTGAAAAATCTGGCCCCAGTTACATCAGGATAGTAGAAATACTTGGCATGTGTGTACTGCATTCCAGTTTCACACACTAAGCCAAGTACTGCAGAAAGCTTTGCAAACTTGAGCAAAATCAGCCTTCTAACATCCCTGTGGGGTGACTGATAAGTATCATTCACTTTTAGAAACGGGAAACAAATGTAGTAACAGGCTAACTAACCTAAGTCTTGTCCCAAATTGGTGGCAGAGCTGGGAAGTGGAGTAATGTCCAAAATAATCTGTGAGTCATACTGGGATTTTTAAGCACATGTGTGTTTTAGAATCTCATTAAATGCAGGTTAATTTTACTGCTTAATACTAGAGTTAGGAGCACATGTGGGGTACAATATTTGGTTTATAGCTTTGTACTGTCTGCTGCTCCAAATTACCCTTAAAGAATGTTAATTACACTACTGTATTTGAAATAAATGACTTTGTGGTAGCATTAGTAAAATAATGAGTTATGTAGGATTTACATACTTACAAAAGATCCTTGCTTAAAAGCTGCAAAATTTTCAATTTTCTTACTTTTATTAACAACTCTTTAACAAGCTTCAAACAGGATGGCAGAATAGCAGGTATCATCTCATCAAACTTCTACAAGCTATTGTCGTTACTTTGGGAACAACATTCAGAATTGTAAGAAAAATGTATCTTGTTAGTTTTGCAAGAAGGTTTTGCTCTTACTTGGGATTTTTTCTGAAGAATAGGAGGATGTGCAAAGATCCTGACTGTAAGGTATCAAAAGAGCCTGTTCTCTGCTCTTAGCTCTAACTACTCAGACCTGGAGGCAAAGTA